ACAGCATCAGTCAAGAAGATTCATCATCCTGGGTTCAAATCTGGCCTCAAGACACTTGGTAGCTGTGTTACTCTAGGCAAGTCACTTTACCCTGCTTGCCTCCATTTCCTTATCTGTAAAACGAGCTGAAGAAAGAAATGGCGAACCACTCTAGTATCTTTGCCAAGAAAACCCCAAATGGGGTCACAAAGGGTCAGATATGACTGAACTGCAACAAAACAACAAGGGAGAAATGTTACCCTGTGGAATAAAAAATGCTTCTAAGGCAAAGAAAAACAAAAGGATTTGGTGAGAAACACCAAAACAAGACCTTTTCTGCAGTACTTCTAAAGCTGAAAATTACCACTAAGCACTAGGGCTAGACTATATCGAGCCTATCTATGAATATGGTTATCTATATTCACTGCTATCCTGAAGGACTATGGGAAACTACAGTCTCTAAGCATAACAATAGAAAGTACCTGTTCAACCTGTAACCATATCCTTTTAATATATTACTTGTCCCCAGAGTGTTCCAACCGGATTCAATCTGTAATCCCCTCACTTGGCTTTCTGTCTTCTTGAATCTATGAGAAAGACCACAAAATGAATAGTCTTTTCTTAGCTCCAAGAACTTTACTATGATATCCATTAAGCAAAGTCATCATCTGGTGTTTTACCTGAAGGCCTAAGACTAAAGGATGCCTTGACTAAGCAAGAAAAGATAATATTTAAGTGGTTCTTTGACAGAAAACATCCCTTATTTAGCATCCCTATTTACTGTACCCTACTGGATGATAAAAATAATTTGAAAAGCAGGAAAAGGTAGGATAGAGCCAAAAAGACTTCTTTGTAGGAGGTAGAACCTAAGCTAATAATCCTGGAAGGAAACTAAGGATTCTAAGAGGCAGAAGAGGTATAGATTTCAAGCACAGGTGACATCATGTAAAAGACAGGTAGGTGGGTAGAGTAAGTTTGGAGACCAGCAAAGGAATCAGTTGCATCGGAAAGTGATGAATATACCCCAAAAATTCAGTATCAGAACTGGGAATAAAAATTAAAACTACAAATAGCCTACCATTCCCACATGGAGGCTAACCTCATTCATAGTAGATGCTGGATATTGGGGAGAAAGGGAGAGAGGACTTTGAGATGACTGGAAAATCTACTCTTGGAAGAATGTGCTGTATAACTATAGCACATCTGGAATACTTGCTGAAGATTGCTAAGTATCTGTTCACATGAAGGGAGGGTGAAGCTTAATTTCTTTTCTTAAACTTTTCAATTAATCAATGTTTCCCTCTTCCCTCAAAACAAAATTTTGCTTCACCTTTTAACAGGTGATGGCTCCAGCACAGTGGAAAGGGCAATAGATCACAAATCAGAAGCAAAGCTTGGACAAGGCCCCAAGCAAGATTTCAAAATTGGGCTCTCCTGGGGAAGCATACGATTGCTAATCAGTGGCTTTATACCATCACTGTAACACAATAGAACAAATGATATACTGGAGGGGACTACTAGAACATCATCTTGTTTTTTTAGATAAAGAATAAAATCCTCAAATGCAAGAAATATAAATGCAAAATACAAAGTTAAGGTGTTCTCCTTCTGCTTTTCTTACAACTACCCATTACTACCCAGAGGAGCACCTCTCGCTCTGTGAAATGTGAACTGGGAATTATATTCAATCAACTGGGGTTGTGTGCAGACTTTATTTTTAGCTGAGACCTCCTATGAATCATCAAACAACTAGTATTAATAATTTCTTAGAGTTTAACTTCCCCCCTTTTGTGAGCTTAAGGCTAAGTCCCTTCTTATGCAAGACTTCCCTTTTTTGTTCAATTCAAAATTCCCTTTTTTTATGTGTTAATTCCTCATTTGGACTCACGGAAAATTACAAAGTTTCCACATGATGCTAAACTAGATACTGATATTGTCAATAGCCTATTAATCGATAAACCTGTATAATGTCTTGCCAATCAGAGAAAAGGAATGTTTCCTCCCATTTTGTGATTTTTGCATTCCCCATTCCCAGAAATAGGTTCCCCATTTCTAATCTATTTCCAACCTTGATTTCCCTATTCTTGTCCTTATTCAAAATGCCCCAGGATGTGTTAGTCCACCTTGTGGCAAAACTATACAATTTGTGTTATTGAGGAACCACAATCAGGATAGAACAAGATTTAGCAGCTTCTACATTAAGGGAGGGCTTGCAATATGATATTCCAGAGGTCAAAGGAGCTGGGATTAAAATCAAGAATCTCCTATCCAGCAAAACTGAGTATAATCAATGAGGGGGAAAAATTGACATTCAATGACATAGTGGAATTTAATGCATTCTTGAGAAAAAAAACCAGAGCTAAATAGAAAAACTGACTTTCAAATACAAGACTCAAGAGAAGCACAAAAAGGTAAACAGGAAAGAGAAATCATAAGGGACTTATTAAAATTGAAATGTTTACATTCCTACGTGGAAAGATGACAATTGTAACTCATAAGACCTTTCTCATTATTAGAGTAGCTGGAGGGAATATACATAGTCAGAGGGCACAGAGTGAGTTGAAGATGAAGGGGTGATATCTAAAAAATAAAATTAAGGGGTGGGAGAGGAATGTACTAGGAGGAGAAGGGGAGAGGTAGAATGGGGTAAATTATCTCACATAAAAGAGGCAAGAAAAAGTTTTTATAGTGAAGGGGAAGAGGTGGGTGAGAGGGAATGAGTGAACCTTACTCCTGTCAGAATTGGTTTAAGGAGGGAATAACATACACACTCAATTGGGTATGGAAATCTAACTTACCCTACAGGAAAGTAGGGGGCTGTTGATAGAAGGGAGGGCAGATGGAGGGAAGGGGTAATGAGAAGCAAAACACTTTTGAGAAGGGAGAGTGAAAAGGAGAGAGAATACAATAAAAGGGGATAGGGAATAAGATGAAGGGAAATACAGGTAGCAATAGTAATGATTAAAAAAAAATTCTGAAGCAAGTTTCTCTGATAAAGACCTCATTTCTCTAACATATAGAAAACTGTGTCAAATTTATAAAAATAAGAGCCATACCCCAATTGATAAATGATCAAAAAATACAATCAGTTTTCAGGTGAATAATTAAAGCTATAGCCATATAAAAAAATATTCTAACCCACTAATTGCAGAAATGCAAATTAAAACAATTCTGAGGTACTATCTCATACCTATTAGATTAGATGATAGGACAGAAAAGCTAAATCACAAATATTGGAGGGGATGTGGGAAAAATGGGACATTAAAGTACTATTGTCCTAGCTGTGAATTGATTAAACCATTCTATAGAACAATTTGGAAATATGCCCAAAGGGCTATAAAACCATGCATATCTTTTGATGTAGCAATATCACTACTGGGTCTGTACCCCAAAAGAGATTTAAAAGAAAAGAAAAAGGAAAAAGACCTATATGTACAAAAATATTTATAGCAGATCTTTTCTGGGGATAAAGAATTAGAAATTGAGGGGATGCACATCAGTTGGGAAATGGCTGAATAAGTTATTGTACGTAATTATGATGGAATACTATTGTACTACAAGAAATGAACAGGATGCTCTCAGAAAAACCTATAAAGATTTACATGAGTTGATGCAAAGTGAAATGTACCAGTACAAAGTAACAGCAACACTGTAAGATGATCAAGCTGTGAATGACTTAGCTATTCTCAGCAATACAAAGATCCATGACAACTCTGAAGGACTTAGGATGAAAAATGTTCTCCATCCCCAGAGAAAGAAGTGATGGTGTCAGAACACAGACTGAAGCAACTTTTGGGTTTGTTTTTTCTGTTTTCATTTTCTTTATTTTTTCTTGAGTTTTTTTTGCCTATGTTTTCTTTCACAACATGGCTATTATGGATATGTTTTTCGTGACTACACAAATATAACCTATATGGAATTGCTTGCCCTCTCAATGAGGGGAGGTGTGGAGGGAGAAAGGGAGAGAATCTGGAACTCAAAGTCTTAAAAACAAATGTTAAAAAAATTTAAAAAATAAATAAATAAAAACTATACAACTTGTGGTCAGCACCTTCAACCACTAGTCAAGAATAGACAAAACCCATGTTATTCAAGATTTTGTAAGTTGTCTCTTTATTGAGTATAAGAAAAGTTGTGTAAACTCTCTTGGGGATCCCTGGTCACTAAGAAGCCTTGGACCTCACTTATTGGCAACTGCTAGCCTTCCTAACACATGGAACATGTTTGGAACTTTGTCGCCTCAGTTTCTCTTCATTAAAGATTTCAAGAGACATCTCTAAGATATCCTGTTAATCAGCTGTTAATCAATCTGGCCAAGAACTCCAACTAGGGAGAAGGAAAGTAGCAATAAGAGGGGAAAAAAAACCTCAACATTTTCCCATGCATCTAGTTAGCTGGCTGTGACACTTGCTCAGATAACTCCCTAAAAGTTTCTCTGGGCCAAGATTTAACTGCCCTCTGCTTGCCCAGTCCAATCCCTAGGTCTCTGTCTCTCTCTTCTAAGAAGATGGCAAAGTTCGATCCCTTCGGGGGTGAGGGGGCAAGGCATTGTCTGGTCCCCTCCAAAACTTTTCACCATCATAAGGTACCCTGCAGTCGCGGCCCATTCAGCCGTCGCCTAATCTGTTTATGCCCCCTTCGGCAATGCAGACTCAAGATCAAAGCCCTCCCTGTCCCCAGCCATCTGCTTTCACCAAGTTCTTTCTCCCCACCCCAGGAGTCCGAAGGTGCGCTCCCACCGCCCTGCACCTCCTCCCACCTCCCCGCCACGCTCGCTCGTTCCCCGCCACGCTCGCTCGTTCCCCGCCCCCATCGTGCCAGGCTCGACGCCTCGCACCGCCCCCCTCTCTCATTTTCACATCTGCATCCTCCCCCACCAAAACCCTCCTTCTCCTCCCCCAGCGCCACGCCCCCTTTACTCACCCCCCCATCTCCTCCTCCAGCTTCTACCTCGGCCCCCCACCCCCATCCCATCCTGCATCCCTCCCTCGCTGGGGGCTCACGGCCCTTCCCCGGGTTACCTGGCGGGAGGAGCCGCCGGAGCTGGGGCCGGGGCCGGAGCTGGCGTCCCCGTCGCTCGCCGGCGCGGCCCTCCATTGAGTTTTATCTCTCGGGGCAGCGGGGCGACCCCGGAGCTAGAGCGGGGGCTGGGGCCGTGGGGGCTGAGGCCGTGGGGGCCGGGGCCTGGGCCCGCAGCGGGGTCGGGCCTTGGGTGGGCTTCTTCGCTGCGGGCCGCGTCCCCGCGCGCCGAGGAGGCCCCAGAGGCTCCGGCCCCCGCGGCTCCCGCGGCCCCCGCTCCGGCCCCGGCGCCGCTTCCATCCGCAGCAATGGCGGCGGCCTTGTTGTTGCTGCACAGCGCCGGGCTCTTAGGGAAGAAGCTGAAAAGGGTACTCTGTCGCGACATGGCAGCTGGAGGGGAAAGAACCCCCTGCACCCCAGCTCGCTCTCGATCGGTCGGGCCAGACGAATGACCCACCGCGGCCAACCGCCGACCGCGCTCTGGCTGGCGGGAAACGTGAGGAGGGGGTGGGAGCGGAGAGGGCGCGGGGGGGGAGGGGAAGGCGGGAAGGGAGGGAGGCGGGGCGGGTTCCGCTAGGGGAAAACCCAGCGTCTGGCCAATCAGAGCGCGCGGGATTCGCGCGGGAGCCTCTGTCTCCGAGCCCCCGCTAGCCCCGCCTCACGAAGCAGGCGCCGAGGCGCTGGGCACCACCTAGCGGCTGGCCAGCGTCACTGCTCTCACCCCTGCGGTCTCCAGAGGCCAGAAGAGGGGCGGGTTACTACGAGAACGTTTAGTTTAGCTACTGCCCCCGGGGCAGGGTCGGGCGGGGAGTGACCACCTAGAGTACTTTCTGAGAAAGCGCCTGAATGATTGCAAAAGTTTACAAGTGCAAGGGCATAGAGGCATATAATAATACTTGTGCATTTAATAATGACCGTAACTACAATCATACTATTAACAGTTAGCATTTATGTAGCGCCTTAAGGTTGTAAAGTGCTTTGCAGACATCTTATTTTATCCTCAAAACAGCCCAGGGAGTTAGGTGCTCTTATCATCCCCATGTGGCAGATGAGAAACTGAGGCTGAGACAGGTTAAATGACTTTCCCGGGGTTATACAGCAGAGAAGTAGCTGAAGCCGAATTGAAATTCAGGACTTCTGACTCAGACTTTCTGTCCACAGCACCACCAAGCTGAAGACTGGAAATTCCAGGAAGGCTGGGGCCACTTCCTACCTAAAATCCCTGTCTATTCCAGTGCCTACTACTGGGGTCTCCACGCAGTAGCTGTTCAATAAATATTCCTTGGATTGATTTGATGGAAAGGTGGAGGCCCCAGGAAGCCAAAAGACCACCCGAGGGATAGCAGAATTACATCATCATTGTCCTGTTCAACCTCTCTTAAGACCTTAAAACTCATTAGGCATCCGAAGTTAGGGGCTGGGGAACGTTTAAATTTTGTTTTTTATTTTAAACTTAAAGACCACCACCATCCCCTCAATAACAACTACAACAACAAAGACACTTCCACAAAAATATCGTGTATGAAATGAATTTCCATTTCAAATGCTTGATTAAAAAAAAAGTTCGTTATTCCAAGTTGCTTTCAAAAATGTCCTCATCTATGCTTCCTTTTTTTCCTGTGCATTTTAAAAAATGTTTTAATGGCTCTATTTTTTTTTTCTTTTGGCATCACTGTTGCTAACTGGTGAGGTGGATGGAGCAACTAATGTAGAAGACCAGGGTTCAAATGTGACGCGATACTTAGTAGCCAAGTGACCCCTGGCAAATCACTTAATCTCTGTTTCCTCTTCGGTAAAATGGGAATAACAGCACCTACCTCTCAGGCTTGTTGTGAAGCTAAATAAGATAATATTTATAAAGCACTTAGCAGTACCTGGCACATAGTAGGTGCTATGAGAAATGTTAGCTCCTGTTATCATAGCTACCTTCCCTCTCCTTCCCAGCCCTCATTAAAAACCTGAGAAAAGGAAAGGAAAGGGGGGAGAGGGAACTTGTAACAAATAAGCATTGTTGAGCAAAATGAGGAAAGAACTTTGGAGATCTTATAGTCAAGCCCTGTTATTTTGCAAATTAGGAAACCAAAGCCTCTGGAGATAAGATGCTGTCCCCCCTCCTCCCTTTACAAAAAAATACCAGAATCCAGCCCTGACCTTTGGCTCCACAATTAAGGGATTTGACTCAACTCCTGTCTCTGTTAATTCCTTTCTTGTGACCTTGGGCAAGTATATTATCTCTCTTTTTTTTTTTAAATGAAAATGAGCATGTTAAATTTGATCTCTGAGGTTTCTTTCAGCTCTAAATCCTTCTGTTCCTACTCTGGGCTTCTGCTTTCTGGACCCATTGGCCATTTTAAAAGCCATTTTATTCATGACTCCAACTCAGAGGCAGAGAGCTGCCTTGATTTTCCTAACCCCTAAACTGGCTTGACCTTCGAGGTTAAGAGTTTTGTGTTCAGAATCTAATGCAACACCAACATTTATTAAGTACTTACTGTGGAAAGGCACAGGACTTGTATATTGTATGGTATGGCATCCAGCCCCCCAACATTCTCTCTGCCTGAGCTAGGCCTGGCTGGCTCACCCCAACGTGGCAGGTAGAAGTGGTTCTGCTAAGGAATGGCCACAGTGTTACAACTCACTCTCAGGCCCCTAGGGAGAATCCTAGTAAGAGCAGCCATTGATCTGCTGTTCCCTATTGTAGCTCCTCAGACCCCACTGGCTTGCTTCCCATTTAAATGATCTACCAAAATGACACCATTAACTCATAATCATGAAATATTTATTAAGAGAAAGCAGAGCAGTAATAATTATAAAAATCCACCTATAAACCTGGATCAATCCACTCTCCCAACAATGCACATTGAATCCAGGAGGGTGGGAAATAAACACAAATTTTATAGAAATCTAGTTGTAAGGCTCAGGAGAAGGGAAACTTTGCCTGAGGCAACTTGTAACTCTAGATTGTAGACCTTGATGACCTTGAACTCTTTAAGGTACAGTCTGCCCCACATATCACCTTCTGTATGATGCTTTTCTATTTTTTGGACCATTGAAGAAGTGTTAAGCTCTTTTAACAAAAAATAACCTTAAAGTTTGAGATCTGCAGAACTTCTCAAGCTGCAGATAGAGCTAGAGAACAAGTCAGCCTTCCTCCAGTCAGCTTTTCAAACAGGAGAACATTCTCTGCTTTCCTCCAATCAGATCACCTCTCCACATGAACTGCAAACTCTGTCTGTATCTGTAGAATTTGTTTGTTTGGCCATCCTCCTTTTTTACTTCTGTTAGATCCTCAGCTCCATTGGCTTCTGGCTTCTGGATGTAGACTTTAACTTCACTGCAAATCCAGTGCTGTAGCTACTACATATGCCATCTTTCATTGGCTTCTAATCTCTAATTTGCCATTTTTAGCATCGGTAAAGTATTTTTATCTCCAAGCGGGTAGCTTCCACTCCGGTCCTCTCAGAATTATCTGCATCTCCCCTCAAGCATTTTTGTTTTTGTCTATGTTCCTCTTCAATCTGCTTTCCTCTGTCTTTCACAAAATTTTGCTGCCTCTTTTGGTAAATAAAATAATCACACAAAAGAGTAGTAATACCTTGCCCTAGTCACTTTGGATAAAAATAGTATCTGTCTTCAAGGAATTTACAATCTAATGAAAAGATATAGTATGTACATGGTAGGTAGGTAAGTGTGTGGAAAGTTGATCAGGAGAGAATTTGTATCTCATCAACTGAGGACAGAAAAGTTGATTTGAATTGTTCTGGTTCATAGCCACCCATTTCTGTTTGCCTATAAAAAAAGAGATCTGTTACAGAGCTACTTTTTTGGCAGACTAGTCAGAGAATCTTAGACCCAGTCAATCAACAAGAAAATATGTTGAGTGCCTACTATATGCCAGACACTGTACTAGGCCATGGGGACATAAATGTAGTGATTTTGGCCCAGTGATACTGCCGTATGTATATCCCAAAAAGATAAAAGGAGGGAAAGGACCTTTATACACAAAAATATAGCAGTGCTTTTTGTTGTAGCAAAGAACTGGGAAAAAAAAAAAGATGTTATCCATAAATTGGGGAATGGCTAAACAAATTATAACATGTGAGTATAATGGAACATTTCACCATAAGAAGTGAGGAAAAGGACAGATTCAGAAAAACCTGGTAAAACACCCTCTCTGGAACTAATTTCCCCAACTCCCATTCATTTAATTAGAGTAAATCTCCATAGGTCAGCTGACTGCTTTTCTCAGAGTTCTAGGGTTACCCTTAGGCAGTGGGTTTCTAGTAGTGCTACTAATGAGCCCCCACCAGTGTGTCAAATGATTAATTTAACCCCTACTTTATTCCAATCACTATTATTCCATTTGGTGTGATTCTGTCAGTGTAGTGATTATTTCTGTTATAATTATCTATTAATATATATTCAGTTAGTCTAATCAAGTAATGTTAGTACTGTCAGGGCCCCCACCCCAAAATCACTCCTCTTTTCACTCCTTTTTATTATTAGGAGATACCTTGTTTTTCAGGGTCGAGGCCCAGCAAGCAAGTTTGCCCTGAGCTTGGCACAACAACGGTCCTTTGTGCTCACCCTCTGGATAAGCTCTGCTACAGCTAAATCATAGAACTGACAGTCCCTGAGTTCAGGCAAGCACCAGCAGGAACCACATCCTGGGCATGAAGCCCTGCTATGAATAGAATTTTTTTGTCACTAGGCAATTTTGCCTTATTGTTGTTGTTATACATCACTGCTTGATTCTTTGTCTAGCCACAACTATCTGCATCAAAGCTTAGACTCTCTTCCTTGGGTCCTCTCGGCCCTACGGCAGACCTTGCTACACTGTTTGTGTCTAATTTGTCTCCTCCAATGGAATAAAGAAGTCCTTTTGCCTATAACCTCTGTGAGCTCTTTGGTATTTTATTTTATTTTATTGTTCATATTTGACAGTTGGCGTAAAGCTCTTTGTTATAACCTCTGTGGCTCTTTGGTCATTTATTTTTCAGGATCGACAGTACATATTTTACATATCCAACCAATATTAGTACATGTTTTACATAGCTTATATTTAGGGATAATTAGATAAGGTTTAGAGAGATTTTTTTCTTATATTAGGCCCCAGCACTTTAAATACGTGGTTATAAGTTTACTTGCTTAACCACAGGAAGCTAACTGGGGTACCTCCACCCTTTCTTCCTAATGAGTAGGTGGCCAAGCCCAGAATGTCGGAGATGACCTAACAATATGGGAAGTTCCCCAGCTGTTTTTGTTGCCCCTCCACCCTTCATCATCTCTCTCTGTTGCCCAGTCTGAGGGAAGGGCTGGAAGCATTTAGTCAGGCTGACCATCATCTTTGCCCACTTTCAACTGGCCCACCAGGAGGGTCAAGGTAAGGTCTGTCAACCAGTGAAGTCCTGTATTATACTTTGCATCATCTATTATCATCTGGGTACCAAGCAGTATAAAACCAAGACCCTGG